GGGGATTCGAACCGCGACCCTCAGATTGCGAATCGAGCGCCTTAACCACCTGGCCATGCCAGGCCAACAGCACAGTTATTAACAAAACGATAGAAGCATTGTTTATCAAGTGTTATTATTCAAATAAATTCGGGTAATATATATTGGAAAAGTTTATAAGTAAAGAAGACCATAAAGATATAAGACACTAAGTTTGAAACTTTAACAAATATAAAATAACATTAACATTGGTAAAACTTTGTTTTTGTACTTTTCAGGCCATAGAAGTGTTCAGCTACGTCGGTGGATACATTGGAATCTGGTTAGGTGTCTCTCTTGTAACTTTGTGGGAATTCTTTGAGAGACTAACTCTTCTTGTGCAGTTTATACTTCAAAATCTATGTTGTAAACTTGCAGGATGCTCACAAGTGAAACCAAAATGTAGTGGTACTGTTGTACAAATGACTACCTACTAAAACTACATTTTTTTGTAAATTCTTGTTTGGAGATACGTTACATCGTTTATGATCAATGGTTCTCTAACGTCATATAATGGTAAAGTTTACCATTAGTTAACTTCTTCATGTAATAGCAATTCATTCACTACTACTAATTTTTAGGTGTCGAAAAAATTATGATGTTAACTTTTAAAATACTATTGTATATCATATTTCATGTATGGAATTTTTAACTGCTATAAAATTTAACAATTCGACGTTCATTTTGGAGCTTAGAAAAGTCATTTTTTTATAGTGGAACATGTACTAGATAATACTGCTTATTTAGGTTCATTTTGTAGTGTGTTGTAAGTTGTTGTTTTGTTTAGCTAAAATTTTAGTATCAAATAAATGAAATGCATTCAATGGCCGATTGTATTTTTATTTTTTACTCAGAATAAACGTCTATATATCCTACTTTGAATAACAAAGAGACTGTCTCGTGCACTAGTAAGTGACCGGCATGGCCAGATGGTTAGGGTGCTTGACTCGCAAACTGAGGGTCGAGGGTCCGAATTCCCGTCCTATCAAACATGCTCGCCCTTTCAACCGAGGGGTCGTTATAATGTGACGGCCAATCTCACTATTAGTTGGTCAAATACTAGCCCAAGAGTTTGCGGTGGGTGGTGATGACTATCTGCCTCCCCTCTAGTCTTACACTGCTAAATTAGGGACGGCTAGCGCAGATAGCCCTCGTGTAGCTTTGCGCGAAATTCAAAACAAACAAGACCGGTATAAAAATGCTACTAATTTACGCGCACTATCACTAGGAAATGCTTATTATACTGTCATTGTTTTCATAACAAATTATTTTATGGAAAGCTAATTATTTATAAACAAATTTTCATTGATCGAAAAACATAAAACACACATACGCCACGCTACGTATCTTCTTACATCAAATTCATTCCATAACACCCAAATTCCCGGATTATCACTGTTTAATAGTTCAGATGTACGACGCTAGGAGTGCCATGTAGTAATGCACATAATGACTTTAAGTCTTCACTAAAATACTTCTTACAATGCATTGTTTATTGCTTTACAGTAGTTTTTAAAGAATCGTTTTTATATTCAAATGCTTGTAACAAGAATAGTGATTAATCCAGATGGCGGAAACTGGCGAAAAGCCTTTATATGATATCTGGACTATAGTGTCAATTAAAAATACAGTTGGGATATAGTATGTAGTGACAAAACAATTCGTGGTTAACATTTCAGTCCACAGCAGCATTTTCAAAAGTCATAAGTAATTAAATCAATATTCTTGTTAACCCCTTCAGCAATATACCCGTGAAGTTACCTGACCGCACGTCCGTGAGCTCCCCAGTGGCACAGCGTTTTGTCTGCGGACTTACAGCGCTAGAACCCGGGTTTCGATACCTGTGGTGGGCAGAGCACAGATAGCCCATTGTGTAGCTTTGTGCTTAATTTCAAACAAACAAACTAGCACGTCCGGGAAATTCCATGCATTTATTTAATTTACATGGTCTCGGAGACCGACCTCTACGCACAGCGGATGGTCTGCTGAGTTTGACAACAAGTGTGAACTCAAATCGGCCTCGTTCTGCCTTACATAAACATGTTACTATGGGAACTTAGGCATCGTGTGTGATCATGACCATGTGACTAAACACAACCAACGTTGAGATAGTACTTCCAAAGGCAACGCGGGACCTGGATCCTCGTTATTATAAAAAAGTAATTAACCCTTCATATTCGTGTATGGATAATCTTAAATACCTTAGAGCGCAAAGATTTGTTCTTTAATCCATTAACAAGCTCTACAAAGTTCATCGGAGCCTCATGAATGTTCACTAAAAATGCAAGTACCTTCACCTGTTTACAGAAGACGCTTAGCATGTTTTGCGTGTTCTTTTTGTGTTAGAACAAAGCTACATTGGATTAACTGCTGTGTCCACTGCAGGGAATCGAACCCCGAATTTTAGCTCCGTAAGTCCATAGACTTACCGCTGTCACACCGGGAGACATATTTTTTTGCATATATGATTTGTTATGTTAGGATAAATATTTTAAGATAAAACTAATTGTGAAAAATAAACAAGATTTTGACATTCTAAAGAATTATATACAATAGTTCGGATTTTAACTGTTATTTTGGCATAAAACTTAACTTTAAACAACCTACATTGTTTTATTCAAGACTTAAGCCTAAGGTGATGTACGAGTTTTTTGACGCTCTAGGAAACAGTTAATCACTTGTTTTACTCAAGCTTTGTTTGAAATAATAGAAGCCTTACATGAAGATTGTGCCCATATATATGTAAACTAGCGTATCTTTCCAAGCAGGATTAGGCAAAAGCCTTCAAATATTACTCTAACTAACTGTTATAAATGTATATTTTTATACAATCAATGAATACTTAGTTCCAGTTCAAAGTTATCTAAATTCAGTAATACATCATTATACCTGTATACCAAACTATCTAACCTTATTCTAAAGTTGTTGTGCTCATAATTGTTTTGTTTTTTTTTCGGGAAGTTTTCGAAAATTATAATTTGCTTTAACGTCAAAGCAGGTTTCTTTTTTGTTGTTCTCTCTAGAACCGAAAGGTGCTGGCACATAATAGCTCTATAATGATGTTGTTAACGGAAGAAAGTTGAAGGTCGTAGTCTTTTTCACTCTTGACTGCTTCTCCTGTGACTCCCCCCCCCCCATTTAGTAAAAAAATGAGGGGGGTAAAGGGACAGGAATTTGTAGGAAACCAGGAAACTTAGCAACATCTAGTGGAATTCCAAGCCAATGATCTACACCATGAGGTTTCTCTCTAAACATTACTTGCTCTACATATTATTTAGGCTCGTCATGGCCAGGTGGTTTAAGGCACTCGACTCGTAATCTGAGGGTCGCGGGTTCGAATCCCCGTCACACTAAACATGCTCGCCCTTTCAGCTGTGGGGGCGTTATAATGTAACGGTCAATGCCACAATTCGTTGGTAAAAGAGTAGCCCAAGAGTTGGCGGTGGGTGGTGATGACTAGCTGCCTTCCCTCTAGTCTTACTCTGCTAAATTAGGGACGGCTAGCGCAGATAGCCCTCGTGTAACTTTGCGCGAAACTCAAAAACAAACATATTATTAATATTTCAAAAACGAAATGCATGAAATATGATGACACTTTTAAAGATGAACATTGCCGCAATTGAATATTTAACATTGGTATTAAGTATCACATAGCCATAAGAATTACATTTTGTATAACGTGTCTAAAAACTGTACGACACTAACTACTCTGCAATACAACGCTATTCTCTCGTCACCAAATGAAGACACAGATAAAAATAGTATTCCAATATAAACAAGATCATAAAGTGAAAGTTTTCTAGGGTGTTGTAATAAATACTGTCAATATACAGCCCTAGGAGACTAATCATTTTAGCAATACCCTCGATAAGAGCGAGGGCGGATGTACAAAAGTGTTTGTCGAAATGCGTTTAGGTAAGAGTAGGAAAGGGACATTTTCTGAAATTTATTACACATGAGATGTGGAATGAGTAACAGTCAACAGTTAATTGCTTACGATGTTTATCATTCGCAAATGAGAAGAGAAGGGTGGGATCGAATGAAAGATAAAACACTGTAAGTTATATAGCATATTTATATTATAACGTTTTTCAGGAAAGTGTGTCCGCGCAGACTAATTGAAATAATATTTACGACTAGAGCCATCGACGCAATATTCATGGAAAATGCTCAACATATTAGTCTGACTGAAATAAAGTCAATGACGTAATTTATCACCTTACAGAAACAATGAAACAACAGACTGAAACGTATAGCTTGAAAACAGGAGCTAAGCCCTTCCCCTAAAAAAAAAAGTTAGTGATCCATAAGGATCTGATTCAACTCAGGCTGTTTTTTTTCAGGTGGTTAGGGCGCTTGACTCATAATCTGAGGGTCGCCGGTTCGAATCCCTGTCTCATCAAACATGCTAGCCCCTTCAGCCGTGGGGCGATATAATGTGACGGTCAATCCCACTATTCGTTTATAAAAGAGTTGGCGGTGGTTGGTGATGACTAGCTGCCTTCCCTCTAGTCTTTCACTGGTAAATTAGGGATGGCTAGCGCAGATAGCCCTCGTGTAGCTTTCTAAACAAACAAACTGTTTATCCAAGATTAAAATAAATGTTAAAAAAGCACCATTGGGTCCTCTTACGCAGGTTATATACCGTATTTTTCGGTGTATAAGACGCATTTTTTCCCCCAAAATTTGATGTCAAAATCTGCTTGCGTCCTATACACCGAAGGTATGAATAATATATACGTATATGTACGATATACACAA